ACGTTTGACGACAACGCGCGTTTTGGGTTTTTGCATCCGCGTGGGACCACGGCGATTTGCAGGCGCCGCCACCTCACATAAAACATGTGAATTTTGAGCTTTAACTACGCAAAACTCGGATGCAACAAAATGTTTCGAATGATATTCGATCTGTCAGATTTATCAGAATGAACAGCCGGAAAAAGTTTGATCGAATTGACGTTTTCTGGCAATGAAAAGGCAAGTTTCAGTTGCTTTTGATGTAGTAAACCTCAAAATTATTTTTGACATGGTTGCTCCACTAAATACATGTATCTTGCCATATGTGTAGGCCTGTACTTACTTCTACTACTCTTTTTTATGACCAAGATTGTCAGATTATAAAGAAAACTGGGAATGAACACAATTGGGAAATTCGTAGACTAGGAAAACCTTCGCTAAAAAGGAGCATATTCAACCATTCAATGAACCTCGCCGTGTCTAGTCATATTATGGTGTGGTCTATAGAATAGATGCAAAAAATTAGAAAAGAAGTAGCGCATGCGCGAAAAAATTAATATTTTGTGTGTGCAGCGCATGCGCTGCACACGGTCCCACACGGTGCTCAAGGTGTGATGCGCATGCGCTGCACAATGTCGTCAACGTGTTAAAAAGTGGGAGAATTGTCGCCAAGTCTGAAAGTTAAGAAGAAGAACAGAAAATTGCCCCCCCCCGTTCAAAATTCCCATCACAATCATTTGATACCGTAGCAGTGTTTGCTTATCTCTAACTCTGCCTGCCGAAGTAAGCAACCAGCCGCCGGTGGAACATCAATGGTTACACCACAAAGGCAAATAATGGGTGGGTTTTACTTACACAGTGTGCACCTGTGGTCAACCCAGTTGGCAAATCAATGCGGGTGAGTCGGCCAAACCCTTGAACACACGTAGTCTTGGTTTTTCAGGGAACAGGTGGATTTGTATCTTTGCTCGTGGAGACCCCCTTGTAGAAGAAGTAAAATCGGAACAAGGAACTCCCCTGCAGGAATTGCTCCTGAGAAGGTTGGCTCAGAGAAGGAAACGTTCCTGGAAACTGGAAGGGAGCACGCGGCAGAGGGTGTTTATATATTTATACTAGTGTTTTAAATTTTGAAACCATTACGATCAGGAACAGGTCACCAACCGAATGGGGGCCACCCATGTCATTGGGGAGGGATATCAAAGCAGGTTCTCCTTAATCGCGCTGGCGGGTTGACGCTAGCACGCAAGCCCAAGTGAGAGAAGGAACACCAGGAGACAGAACTGCTGAATGCCCTTTCTTACAGAATCGCGTTCGCTGTCCCCATAAGCTTTATCTCAAGGTCACGGTAGAGAGGGTCACTTACACGATGGTCCCTAACAGACATGTTCCCCCCTCACCTTACCCTTCCCCTCCCTCACCCTCCGCTCTTCCCCCCTAACGGCATGAGTGTCGCATTTCTGCGATGGAATGGAACGAGTGACGGAAGTGAGAGGAGCACCTACTTTCTGGTAACTTCAGGGGTCGTTTTTGGAGCAGAACTGTACAAATTCCTTAATTCAAACCCGCTTTTCGTACAAACAGAACCATTATATGCCCCTAACATATTCTATGAAAATCCATAATCAACAAATAGAGCTGGAAAGCGTTGGAGGAGGCGCAGCGCTTGGAAATGTCGCGTTGCCTTTCTTAGTGCAGGATCATTTCAAAACAACCTATGAAGGAAGTTAAATAGAAAAAATATAGTGTAAAGAGAATTAGGCGATTTATTTTGTGTATCCGAGCGATTGTTAAATGGAACCTCCATGCTTTTGAACTAAATTGGGTAACAACCTCAGTCCTCCTGAAAAGAACAAGCAGAGATTCCTGGACTGGATTTCCTGGGCGCTCCTTTGCAGAGAAAAATACGGTTCCGAAAATTTCAATTCAAATATATGAATGGGATTCAGAAATATGGTTTGTCCTAGCAGAGTTGATCAGTACCAAACACCTCATACATCTTTCGTCCTTAGAGTGCAGAGAAATTCCAGACAAAGCAACCACTTGTCCAGTACTGAAGAAGTGGGCAAGTAAAATGAGCTGGGAGGGAAAAGGTTGGAATATCCAGAAAGTAACTCACCAGTTGGGTGTGCGACATGCCTTGGACTCCCGTTCAGAATTGTGGTTTCGTTTTATGAGCACTTTACCTTACGAGACATGTTTGACTCAAATTTTGTTGTTTTTTCAAAAAAGGTCTTATTACGATTCGTGAGGTTTTTTCATGAAAAAGCTTCAAGGCAACTGAAAAGCTCACCACATCTCTCGGCTCTCGCAATAGGCATGGCAACGGCGGAGTGTAGGTAATGATGTTTATTGGGCGTGGTCTGTGAAGGCAGGTACATAGGTGTCAGGCTCTCACGATCTCTAATTGAGTCATTCCAAGGAAAAACGAATACAACGGAATTTTTCTCAATGATGAAATACCCCCCTCCTGCACTATACTGGGGTTGTGTCGTGCTTACACCTGTTTGAATTCAAGACGCCTAGCCGAGTTCAAGTTCAATCTTACCATACCTACTTGAAAGTGCATTTTCAGGTAGTTATGGAGGCATGCCACAGTACCCTGCCTGTGAAATTCAAATCCTTTGTGTTTTACAAACACAGCAGTTTAGCCCTGTACGCTACCGCGCGCACGAAACGGAAGGCCTAAGTGAAGCGGGACAGCCGATAAAGCATTAAGTTCACCGCTAAACATTGGTTTGCCGTAAA